TTGGAATCCCCACTCAGCACCAACAAGCCCCGTTTGAGATAACTTTCTGTGCCCACGCTGGTGAAGCCCAAAGATGGATACTGGCAGGAAGGAGAAACCATTCAAATGGAAAGTAAAATTAATTACAGCTGCGACAGCAGGCACGATTTCTCATTTATACATTCTCAAGGAAGGACACCCAGATGCTGTGTGGTGGTGTGAGTCAGTCCACTGAGCAGGTTCAAGCTGTCCTGCATGAGCTCTGACGGGTCAGCCTCTCCCTGAGTCAGCCTGCTCTACGTCCCTAGATGCTGAAGGCCCTGGGCCCGGTGCTTGGGCTGCATATACCAAGGCCTGGGCCATGTCCTGACCCTGCTTCTCCCTCACTGTGAGGCCATGGCCAGCCCTCCCCTCACCCACCTCCAGAGGTCCACGCAGTGCTAAGAGTTGGGATTCTGTATCGGTAAAGAAGTAATCACTGCCCCGCCCCAGAGGTGGAGAGCAGGTGGGTGAGAGGGAGGTTCTGCAGTAGGGACATTAGTGCTAGAGCCCAAGTGCGCCCCGGCCCTAGGATGGATTCCCTGCTCTGGTTCTCCAGCTGCTGCTCCCTGCACCTTCCACACTCTGCTTTGTCTACAACAGACCCCACCTAAGCAAGAAGAAAGAGCCTGGAACACGACTTTAGGGTTTGTCAGATAGAGGTTTAACTGTCCCTTTGTCACTGGAAAGCTCTGTGACCTTGGATAAGCCACTTCTCTTTGAGCCTCAGTTTCTTTGTATAATTGGGCAGTTCCTATTTCAAAGGTTTGTTGACAGAGCTTTTTTTCAAGTGATGAATGCACAGTCCTTGCACAGTGTCAGGATGTAGTCAGGACCCGTGGTCACAGGCACTTTGTGTGTCACCTCCCCCACAAAGACCAGCAGACGGTGCCCGGGGAACTCTTGTGACCCTGAGGACTAATGCTTGCTGTGCTCTTCCTTAGATATCTAGAGAGCAGGCGTGGCCAAGATGGCAGGATCCTGGCACCACCACTGGCCGTGAAGCCTGGTTCCTGGCCTGTAAAGGGAGGACCAGGGTAAACGCCTGCCAGGTTGTGAGCACGGAGTGACAGGACAGTGAATGGCTGAAGCAGAGTCTGGAATGAGGAGGCCCTGACACTCTGTCCCACCTCTGTCCTCCTTCCTTGGAACTGAACCCAGCCAGGCAGAGTGTCGACTAGTTATGGGTTTCAGATTTCTCTTAGACTAAGAAGCCTTTTTTTTTTTTTTAATCTAAGAAATAACCTCTATTCACTGAAATGCTTAGGTCAATGAGCTGTTCTACTTTCTTAGCTCCCTAATTAGGAACTCAGCACAGTGCCTGGTTCATAGTAGCCCTTGGTTATAAACATTCGTGGTAGAAGGTGAAATAGAAATTCTAGTCTCTACCCCATAGCCCTCCTCAGGAAGATGCTTCTGAAAGGCAGGGGCCCCTTTCCCCCTTTAGTAAAGAGGCTGTGGAAACTTCTAGAATGTTTCTGGCCTTTGAAGATTTGGAGCACCTTAGAGCCCCCCCACAAACTAATCCAGGAGGATGTCAATGTGGCATGTGCAGGAAATCAGGAGACCCTGCCTGCCCCCAGGATGAGCTTGGCAACTGCCCGCTTTGATTTTCTGTCACATCCTTTGTTTTTATTTTGTTTCCCTCTGTCTGTGTCTCCTCAAAGCCACATGCAGCCCCCGGGCCTCCTGACTGGGTAATGAAGGCCCCATCTCCAGCTGGATTTGGGCTTCCTAGTTGTCTTCAATTCAGCATTAATGTTGCCTGAAAAGCTTGTGAGGGGTTGGGAGTAAATGTTGGAGCTTCAGCAGGACTTCGGAAACTTCCTGAAGTGCACTGTTCTGTGCAGGAACTGAACTCACCAGTGTCCTCATCATCAGGCAGAGAGTCTGTGCGGGTAGCTGCCTCTCTCTGCCTTCCCCATCAGCACACGCTAAACCTGGGCCCCGAGGGACTACCGGAACTCTGGGTGCTGACTCCTGGGCTTGGGGTGACTAAGGAGCTGGCCTCACCTGGGGTGGTGCCCTTTTCACAGGGGCCTTTCCGCAGGCTCAGGCCTCCCTGATGTCCCTGCAAAGGAGTGTGTTCTATCTGCAGGCTGAGCAGAGGGAGCTTCCAGCCTGGCTTCAAAGCTCCCTCCACCTGGGCTCCCTTGAGCTTAATGCTTGGAAGGTATCCTCTGTGGGGCAAAGGTTTTGTCACCATGCACAGTCTCCGGGGAGGCTACCGCACTGGCATTCAGTGTAGCTCAGGTACAAAGGTGAGGCCACCGGTGATGGTCTGTGTGAGCTGCCATGAGTCACTCAACCTCTTTTATCTGTAAAGTGGGCATAGGAATACTCACATCAGTACAATAGGTAGTCCAGAAAGAATCCCAGAAACACAGGAATTTGGAAACATCAGAGGTCATCTCAGATTGGTAGGGAAAAGATAGCTCCTTCAAGAAATGGACAACTTGGGATGCCTGGGTGGCTCAGTAGTTTAGTGCCACCTTCAACCCAGGAAGTGATCCTGGAGACCCAGGATCAAGCGCCACGTCGGGCTCCCTGCATGGAGCCTGCTTCTCCCTCTGCCTGTGTCTCTGCCTCTCTCTCTCTCTCTGTGTGTGTGTCTCTCATGAATAAATAAAAATCTTTAAAAAAAAATCCAGATAGATTAAAGATTTAGTTGTAAAAAATGAAATTAAAACTAAAGCAAGAAAATATGCAAGAATTGTTTTTATAAATCTTGGAGAGGGGAAGAGAAGAGGTCTTTCTAAGTCTGATAGCACTGAGGGAAGCTCTACAAGGTACAGGTACAGACCAATAACATTTCTGCACAAATAAAGCCAACATGAAAGTCAAATGATGAACTGGAAAAAAAGCAAATGTCTTACAAATGTCTCTTATTCATAGCTAAAAGGCATTAATTTTCTTTATAAAGAATTTCCCCAAATCCAATACAGAAAAGATCAGCACCTCCAGAGATAAACACACAAAGGCTATCAGGGGGTCATTCCTGGAAAAGGAGCTACGGATGCTCCCACACGTGTGGTCCTAGAGCGTCTGGACAGGAGCCCCGGGCCAAATCCTGGCTCCGTGCTTACATATGTGACCCCCACAAGGTCTTCATGTTCTCTGGGCCTCAACTTCCTGAGCATAAAGTGGAGGTAACCACAGTCCACTTTATTAAGTGGGTTAGCAAGCATCAAGAATGTGGAGTGGGACAGTAATTGTTATGTAAATGCTTGATTGATAAAACCTGGAGAGATGCCATGGTGCCCCTATGAGTAGGACTCTCTTACGATAAGAAATAAGCAGTGATGAGCCGTATCTCCACCATGTTGCTGACAGTGCAAGGAATCTAGCACCCATATCACTGATGGGAGTATAGATACGTGTTAGACTTCTAAATACACTGTGACCAAGCAGTCTCTTGGATAACCATCCTTGAGATGATGCACATATGGGAGTATTCCTACAATACTACTTGTGAAAGCTAAAATTGGAAATAGTCCTCCTTCAGTGGGGAACTGGGTAAATATTTTATAATATCAATATGCCTCTAATCTCAATGATCATGCAGCTTGGAAAAAAGGGACAAGTTTACCTGTACTGATAGGGAGCAATGTCCTGTGTCCAGGCATACCTTGTTTTATTGCACTTTGCTTTATTGTACTTTGAAGATACCGCATTTTTTTTGTTTGCAAATTGAAGGTTTGTGGTAACTCTGTGTCAATCAAGTGTGTGGGCACCATTTTTCCAACAGCATTTGTTCATTTAGTGTCTGTGTCATATTTTGGTGATTCTTGCAATATTCTAAATTTTTTCATTATTTTTTATGATCTGTGATTTTATAACTCACTGAAAGTTTAGATGGTGGTTAGCATTTTTTAGAAGTATTTTACAATTAAGGTATGTTTATAATTTTTAAAGACATAATTGCTATTGCATACTCAATGGACTGCAGTGTTGTATGAGATAACTTTGATATGCCCTAAGAAACCAAAAATTTCATTTGACTCATTTTATTGCAATATTCACCCAACTCATAATATCTCCAAGGCATGCCTGTGTATTAAGTAGTAAGAGTAAGGTGTCAAACAACATGTACAAGAATTCCATTAGTGGGAAAGGGAAGCTGGCTCCGAAGGGACATTCGGGAAAGCAATCAATTGCCTCTGGGGGCATGCTGGGGCTGAAAGTGGGATGGAACCTGTGAGTTTTCGTGGATCATAATCTGATAAAACCTACGAGGCAACACTACTGTGAGGGGTGTAACATCCTCCTAGAGGCCGGAGACAGGGAGCAGCCAGGTCTTAGCTCCACCACGAGATGTGTGGCCTCAGTACGTTCCTGACCTGTGTGCCTCTTTTTCCTCATCCGCAAAATAAGGATGCAGACAACCCCCAAGGTCATGAGTGTGAAATGGGGTAATCCGAGTCAAAGCACTGGGGCCCTGTGAGCACCAGCCCTCCTCCTCCCCATCACGTTCAGTGGCCCAGCCCTAGCATTCCCCAGTTCCCTGGCCAACCAGACACCTTTTTCTAAGGGCTCCGCATTGAGGCTCCCTGCATCCCTGGGATGAGTCTGGTTCCTAGGCTGCCCATCTGACTTGGCTGCTACAGCCTTCAAATTAGGAAAGCATGTCTGTAAGGAAGCTCTCAGATGCTTGTGAACCTGAGGCACATGCACTCAGGGTGGGCCAGGGCACACTGTGCCCCCCAAGACCCCATCAGCACTGGCACGCAGCACTGCGGAGCTCACCTGGGGGCTGCTCAGGCAGGAGTGGGCTGTCTGGGCAGACTTGTCTGCTGCTTGCCGCACCCCCTACCTGCACAAGACTTCTCGTTGCCTGGTCTGGCCTCTGTGGGTTGCTGGGGTCTGCATTCCTCTTAGTGCCTTTGGGGAAGGAGGAGAATTTGGTTGAGGGGCCACAGGAAGCTGCCACTAGGCTTGCATCCATTCGGCAGGGTGCTTACGTTAATCTCTTCTGCTTGCAGGGGTCTAACGTGATGGAGGAGCAAGACCTGCGGGATATTGGCATCACTGACCCCCAGCACCGGCGAAAGCTTCTCCAGGCAGCAAAGTCCCTGCCCAAGGTGACTGGCAGCTCTGTAGCCTCAGCCTGGGTTGGAGCCGGGGCCCCTCCCTGATGCCCCCTGGACCCAGAAGAGGGAAAGTGCTCAGCTCCAGGGCATACAGATTACTGCAAGCTGTCTGCCCTGCATCCTAGGGGACCCAGCAGGCAGCATAGAGGCCTGTTTGCCTTCTTGCCCAGTCTTAAGGCCCCAGAAAGGCAGCAGAGACTAGGGACAGTTGACTCAGTCCAGGGTCCGGAGGGAGGCTCCAGGCTTCTGCCCAGCACAGGAGCTGGTACCCACAGGCTTGACCTGGAGCCTCTTTGGGTTCTTTCCTGACTTTGAAGACCAGGCCAGCCTGCATCTGACCCCCAACATCACACTTTCCTCAGGAAGGCAGAGGGATGCTCAGGGCAGCAGACGAGGCAGTTTTTCCCTGGAGAGCCAGGGGCCAGTAGGCCCACAGGTCTCTCCCTTGACCTCACTGGTGCTAGCTAATAAGTCCAGCGTACCCTTGTTTGTTCCACTCACCCCAAGCTTGGGAAGTACAAACAAGTCCCACCAGTGACCCACTTCACAGGTGCCACCAAGTCTGTGACCTTGCCAGAGCTCAGTGAGAGCCCTTCTGCAAACCCTTCCTCCCCCTAGCCATACCCTCTAGGGCTGTCTGCCCCAGGCTGGTGTGCTCTCAGAGCCCTGCCTCTCAGATAGGGGAGCCGAAACCAGAGCAGCAGAAGAAGGGGCTGTGTGAAGGGAGGGGCCCCTGGGCTTTTGTCCCATGAGGGCTGTGATGTCAGTCCTTCCACCCCTTCTCCGCACATAGGTGAAAGCTCTGGGCTATGATGGCAATAGCCCCCCATCAGTGCCCTCCTGGCTGGACTCCCTGGGGCTGCAGGACTATGTGCACTCCTTCCTGTCGAGTGGCTACAGCTCTATTGATACTGTGAAGAACCTCTGGGAACTGGAGCTTGTCAATGTGAGTGTAGCCTGTGCTTGGGCCTGGCCTGGCCCCCCAAGGGTGCAGGCTGGGGGTGGGAGAGGAGCTGTGGGTGCAGGCACAGCCTGACCCTTCCTCCCACCCCCGTCCAGGTCCTGAAGGTGCACCTCCTTGGCCATCGCAAGCGCATCATTGCCTCGCTCGCAGACAGGCCCTATGAGGAACCACCCCAGAAGCCCCCACGGTTTTCCCAGCTGAGGGTGAGTCGGAGAGGGATGGAAAGGGAGAGATGTGTGTTCTTCGTATTGCTAGGAATTAAAAAGAATTCTTGAGGAATTCTTTGGAGACAGTGTGACCTCCATAGAAGAGGTGCGAACAGTCTGAGACCTCTTGTCACTGGGGCCAGTCTGCCCCTGGTGCACATCTTGAGAGGAGCATGGGGCAGGAGTTGTTAAGACTTGATTATTTATCAATTATGTGCCTCCTATCTCCATCGGAGAAGTCTGGCGGGGCCTATGATAAAGCGTCAAGTTGAAATATAAGTAGAAAATAAAATGTTAGAAAAAGTAGGAAAACAAATATCCAAATCCCAGCTGTTAGGCATGAGTGGCAGTTCAGGTGAGGGGCAGGAGGACCCCCTTCCAGATAGTCTGATGTGAACCCGAGACCAAGCTGGAAATCTATGACAGGACTTGTACCCTCCCCAGGTCCTCTGAAGTAAAATCCCTGCAGTGGGGTGGACTAGAGAAGCAGCAACTTTAAAAACCTCACAGATGCTTTGTTGCTCAAGCCAGATAATCCCTGACTGCAGGTTAGAGTCGGCCCCATGGAGGTCTGGGACTATATTTGTTCTTGAGCCAGAGTGCCCGACAGCTGCTGCACCTCCACCCATTCCCAGCAGCCTCACCCAGTGGGTGTCATCCTATCCCCCTTGTACACAGGAGCCCGGTCTGAGGAGCAAATGCAGGGCTGGTATTCAGTTATAAAAGCTGAGGAGACAGGACCTCAGGGTGCTGACAGCGCTGTGTGTTTTCTCAAGGAAATGCTTTGCATTTGGTCGTGTGCCCCAGGGAGCTGCAGTGAATTATGACAGACGATTCTATCTTTGATGAATATAAAAGCAGCTTCCCCTATGGCTCCAGGCCGAGGAGTGTGCTGGTAAAGTGAGGGTGCCATGGTGACTGTGTGCCTGCAGGACTGGGACGCCAGGGCCTCCTGGCAGGTCAGAGCTGGTTGCTTTGACTGTACCTGGGCTGGACCCAGGGTCCAGGCTCCCCACAGGTCTGTGGGCCAGCGTGCCATCTATTTGGTGCCCACTGGTGACGGTCCTTAGCTTCACCCCAATTCTCACTGATACACCTGCCCCTCTTGGGCCCTAAGTAGCCCCAGCACTGGCTGACATCTACAATTTAGAGACTGGCTGAACGGGTTCCAAGTTTTACCTGGATTTCTCCCCACCACAGTGCCAAGATTTGCTCTCCCAGACATCGTCCCCACTGAGCCAAAATGACTCCTGCACTGGCCGTTCTGCTGACCTGCTGCTGCCTCCTGGGGACACAGGCAAGAGGCGGCATGACAGTCTTCATGACCCTGCAGCACCTTCCCGAGCAGAGCGCTTCAGAGTCCAGGTGGGGCAGGCGGGGAGCTGTGAACGGGGGTCCCCAGACCAGGCCAGAGCCCCCAGAACCCTTCACTGTCCTTGTGTCCCCTGAGGCAGACCCTGGGTGGGAGAAGGGGGGATAGGAGACCCCTATGATCCAGGTGCCAGGATCAGCAGCGGGAGGAAGCCACGGCCTCCTCTCCTCAGCCCCACCCAGCCTGTGTCTGGCATCCAGCCCCAAGACTCCCAGGGCTATAACAACATGACTGTCATCAGCTGTCACTGCATGTGGCCACAGAAGTTCAGATTCACTGTCTGTTCTTTGACTACAGCCTCTACCTTCCAGCCCCTCAGGCCACCAGTCCCATTTCTGCCCCACTCTCCGCTGCTTCTTGGTCCCCGGTTGCTTGCCCTCCTATTCCCCAGAGCAGCTTTCTCCCCTCCACAGCTCCACACCCTGTACCCCACCTGCCCAGCAAAATCACAGCCCAGGTTAGACTCCGTTCTTCCTGCTGCGTTTCTGCAGGAAGGGTCAGGGGCAGCAGGGAGGCACATCTAGCTGTGCCATCTACCTTCACAGAAGCCCCTCAACCCCTACTGGGCCCTGGGTGCCCTGCAGCCCTTGCCCTAGGCCGGCCCCAGCCCACAGTCCTGGTTCACCCTCACGGGGCCTTGCATTCGGGCTCCTGGTTGTATTTCCCTGCCCTTCCTCCTGCCCTACACATGGATCCCGGGCTTTGTCTCTTGTCCCCCATCTTGCCAGCTGGACACAGGATTGGAACCTGTCCCTCACACCCCATTCACTGCTTTTTTCTCTTGACTCATACTCCTCCTCTCCAGTACCTGGGGATGTCCTTCACCTTTGTACAGGCACAGCTGTGAATTTGACAAGATTTGAAAAAGCATGTTTTCCAGGAGTTTCAGTTGTTCCATATCAGACTTCTGCACAGTGCCAGGAACAGAAATCATAAATATTTCCTCTTTTCCCGCCTCCCCATTCTTTGTATCCTAGTTAGGGCACCCGTCAGCTGGCACCTGCATTTCGGTGGCTTCCTGCCCCTTCCTCTGCACCAGGTTCCACCTCAGGAGACAATATAAAATGCCTCCCTAGCACTGGACACTTGCCCATCCCAGAATCAGATCCAGAGGCTCTGACTTGGAGGTGGGGCTTCCAGGGATCTGGAATCCTTCCTGCTTTGTACTTATTTTCCCCTCTTTGGTTTTAGTCATTTCCTATCTCCACCTCAGAGCCTTCCCCACAGAGCCTGCCTTCAGGTGGCTTAGGTCCTGCCTCTCCACCTTTCCCCTCCGCCACAGTGCATCTGCTTGGCTTGTCTCCCGCCCTCCCCCACTACCCTTGAACCCCCGTGGCTGGCTCCTGTGCCCTCTAGTGTGCTGGAGCCCGCAGAGCACCCAGGAGTTCCTCTGGAGGGGGTAGGCAGATCTGTGACCCCACCCATTGTACAGGAAGAGCAGCGCGAAGCCAAACTGACCCTTCGGCCCCCCAGCCTGGCTGCGCCTTACGCCCCAGTGCAGAGTTGGCAACACCAGCCAGAGAAACTCATCTTCGAGTCCTGTGGTTACGAAGCCAATGTGAGTTACCCGTGCCCTCCCAGCCTGGCCAGACTCCCTGCTGCCTGCCCCTGGGGCCGGGTCCAGGGCTCCAGTGCTGTTCTCTGCTCCCCGGACACCCCAGCACCTGGGGGGCGGGGGCCTCCCAGCCAGGCTAGGGGAAGGAGGTTGGGAGAGGGAACCGTCTGACTGTAGTCCCAGCCTGGCTACTGCCCTGCTCCCTCAGTATCTGGGCTCCATGCTGATCAAAGATCTTCGAGGGACAGAATCCACACAGGACGCCTGTGCCAAGATGCGGGTAGGTTGTCTGTGTGTGTGGTGGATGGGGGCTGGCAGGGATGGGAGGCTTCGCTAGGGGCACCTGCTGCAGCCTCTTGGCCCTTACACATTATGTGAGGTTGGCGGGAGGCTGGGGCCTAGGGGCCCCAAGGGGCGTGGCCTTGAGAACGGACATTCACAGGCCCACTCCTCATTTCCTGTAGAAATCCACCGAGCACATGAAGAAGATCCCCACTATCATCCTGTCCATCACATACAAAGGTGTCAAGTTCATCGATGCCTCCAACAAGGTGCACTTCTCACAGCACTGTCGGTGGGAGGGGATCCCTCTCCCTACCCTCAGTGCCCAGCCCCCGGCAGCTGGGCATCCTGCTTAGTGTGTTCCCAGCCCTTTGTCTTCCTACTGCCTTGCCCAGGTGCCTGCCTCTCAGCTGCCACACGTCCTGATCCTGGGGCCCTACCCAAGTGACAGGTGTCCCTGGTCTTCCTCAGCGTGGGTTCCTCTTACCTGTTCACACCTAGCGATGTGATTCTCTTAAGGAGCAAAGGACTCCCCCCATGCTCCACACCTGGTACCCCACCCGCCTGATGCCCTCCCCACCTTGCCCCAACCCTGGAGAGCTGGTGGTCACATGTGAACGTTTTACCCCTCGGTTGCTGTGGTCCAGGGTGGAGACCCCTAAACCTAAATTGGGCAAGGTTAGACACCCCCACCACCACCAGACAGACTGATAAGAGAAGTCGTGGCATTGGGCTAACAGCCTGGGCTGGAACAAAGAAAAGGTGGTGGTGCAGAAGGCTCGAGGTGTGCCTCGGGCCGAGGATTCCAGACCCCACTTTCCCTGGCAGAATGTTATTGCGGAGCACGAGATCCGGAACATTTCCTGTGCGGCCCAGGACCCAGAGGACCTCTGTACCTTTGCCTACATCACCAAGGACCTGCAGACCAGCCACCACTATTGCCATGTTTTCAGCACAGTGGACGTGGTGGGTGGCGACCCACAGCCAGAGGGGGCCTCAGGGCCGTGCTGTCTCAGCACGCGGGTGGCACTGGGCCAGCGTCTGGTTCAGGGTGAGGTCCCAGCGGCCATCTGGGCTAGGCCCCTGTAGACAGTGATGGAACTGAAGCACAGAGGGGGAGGGTGACTCACCTGGGGTTCTAGGGACAGGTTTTCCCTCTTCCAGCCAGGGGTCTCCTCCCTGCGGCTGCATGTCCACTCGCCACCCCATCCCCCAACCCTGCAGGGGCCGGTTCCCTGAAGTGCCCTGTGCCTTCCTCTGGGGGGCAGCAGTGCCCTCCTGACAGCCGGCTTCCTTTTCACAGTGGTGCTGGGGGTGGGGGGCCTCCCCTCAGGCCCCTCCCTGAGCTCTGCCATCCTTCGGGAGAATAGCTAGTTCCCAAATCTCTGGCTTCCGGAACACAGCTGGCCAGGCATTCTCAGCCCCAGGAAGTCCATGCTTGCTCCAGCCTGGCATCAGACACCTGGCTCTGCCACTTGCTAGCTGTGTGGTCTTAGAAATGGGCTCCGCGTCTGAAAAGGGGCTATAATGTGAGCAACTTCATGGGGTTTGTTCTGAAGGTAAAGGGGGTCCTCTACCCATACTTGTAGTTCCTGCCACTTTTACCCAGAGCTCACATTTCCCAGTCATTTCTGCTGTAAAACGGCACACACGCTCCTGAAGATCAAATGCTACAGAAGCTCACCCAGTAAAAAGCAGGGTTTGTGGGGAGACAGGGCTGGGGGCACAACACTCAGAAACTTCGTTAGTGGCACATTAGAACAGGAACCTAATGAAAACACCGGCCCTGCTCTGTTCACATCCGCTGGTTGAGAAGTCCATAGCTGCTCCGGTCAGCAACCCCCCGCGCCCCTGACCACCACCACCACCAGCCTGTGCTCAGGGCCGTGAGGCTGGGCCGGGGGTCTGGGCAAAGGGGTCCGTCTGGTGGCTCCTCGACCTTGGTGCTGAAGCTGGGCTCTGTCTCCTCCCAGAACCTGACCTACGAGATCATCCTGACGCTGGGGCAGGCGTTTGAGGTGGCCTACCAGCTGGCCCTGCAGGCCCAAAAGTCCCGGCCGCTAGGGGCCTCTGCTGCCGAGACGATTGAAACAAAATCTTCCAAGCCAGTGCCTAAGCCTCGGGTTGGCACGAGGAAGTCAGCAGTACGTGGGCCCAGGCCCCTACCCCCCACCCCAGCGGGCTCTGGGGGCTTGGGGTGGAGTGGGCACCAGGAGGGGCTTCTCACGCAGCAGCCAGCACCTCCCCCATGAACCCCCACTGTCCCCCACGGGCTTCCCTCCCCTCCCTCGCCGGGCACCCCTGGTAACACCACCCCGTGTCTGTGTCTGCTTTGCTCTGCACCCCAGGTGCCGCTGCCCCCCGATAGTCGCTGTTGTCACTGTCACACCTGCACCACCCATCGTCCTTCCTACCTACCGCTGCCGTCTGTTAGTCCCGGAGTCAAGGTCTTTACACCTCCTGCTGTCTGTGTGTCAGTCTCCCCGAAGTGACTGTGAGCTTTCTGAGATGCTAGTGCCTCTCTTCCCTGAGTTGCCCTCCTGCTGTCCCTGCGTCTGCTTCAGCTGTCTGTGTGTCCTCACTGCACAGGCCCACCCGGGGTGCGCCCTCAGCCTGACCCAGGAAACCGGAGGCTTGGTGTTTTCCTGCCTCCATGAACAGGTCTGGGGCTCAGAGTATGAGGCTCTTTACCTGAGCAGCTCTGAGAAGTTGCCCCTGAGAGGCCTAGAGGTAGCCCTCCTGTGAAGCTCCGGGAGGGTGCCACTCCTGCCACCCCAGCCCTAGGGAGCTTGCTCTTCGAGGACAACGGAGGGTGCCCCTCCTGTGCCCTGTGCTGGCATGACATCAGCATGGCCCCGGCAGGAGGAAGGGACAGCTGGGCCCTGGTGCCCCCACCCTGGCCCGGCCCAGCCCGGCGCTCCCTCTCTGACCCCTTACCCTCCTTCTTGGCAGCTGGAACCGCCCGACCTGGACCCGGACACCCAGTCCCATGCCAGCGTCTCCTGGGTTGTGGACCCTAAGCCAGACTCTAAGCGGAGCCTCAGCACCAAGTATGAGACCACTATCTTCTAACTGCTCGCTCCCTGTCTCCACTAGTCTCACTGTGCCTTGCCATCCGACCTCTACTCTTCTCAGCTCTCCTTCCGGCTGCTGACACCAAGGCCGCAGTCCTGGGGGGACCTGCTCTCCTCCCAGGCGGCAGCTCTAGACACTCTCCACTCACAGCTTGTACCCAACACCACCGGACACTGTGAAGTCCCCCCTGGGCGAGGACAGCTTGGCGGGGAGGGGGGTGAGTTGCCCCAGAAGTGGGCGCCCCGAGGGCTGAGGGTGCCCTGGTGTGCCCAGGAGGCCTCAGCGGGAAGGTGCTGTGAGTCCTGAGGGGTGGGCAGTCTTCAAGCAGCATCCAGACAGCGCCAGTGACCACTCCCTCTGAGCAGGCGGGCATGTGTGCTCCCCTCTCCTGTCTTCTGTGCCGAGCCGTGGCTGGCTGCCGCTGCCCAGAGAGAACTCTTTTTGCACCTTTCCTGACACAACCAACCACTGTGACCACTGGTGCCAGAACCCCTTGCACTCTGCTCACGCTGGCCTGCGGCCCTGTCCCTCTGTCCTCTGCTGTATGGTGCTGGCCTCCCCGCAGGAGAGCCTGAGCTCAGAGGTGTGGCCTGACTGGGGTCCGACTGCGTTCTGTGAGGGGCCCAAGGGCCTCGGGCACATGCCTGACTCCACAGCCTGGAGCTCTGCGCATCTGGACCCCGCGGGCTGGCTTCCCTCAGCAGGGCTCCTGTCCCGCTGGGCCTTCCGCTCCCAGGAATGGGACGGCAGGTGTGCGGTCGGCCCCTCAGGTCTTCGCCAGCGAGTCACGAGGAGGCTGGCTCCGGGGCCTAGCTCGCCAAGGGGCAGGCCCTTCCGTAGGCCCCAGCCACACGGTCTGCCTTCTTCCCTCCCAGAACGGAGCCGCTCGAGGACAGGGAGCCCATTGCCCTCTAGGGGCTGACACCTGTCCACGGTGTGGGGTCAGAGCTAGGCAGCCACCACCCACTCCTTCCCCGGTTGGCCACCCTCGGCCCCCTGCGTCCCCTGAGAGGGGAGGCTGTACGGGCTGCCCAGCTGGGATGGTGGAGCTGAGGCTTTTGAAGAAGCCGCAGTCGCCCCTAAGGGCCGATCAGCTCAGTTACAGGAACGGGAGCAACGGTTCCGGGAGGAAGCGTAGACCAGTAGAGAGGCCGGGCAGCTCCGCAGTTAGTTCAGAGCAGAAGCCCCAGGTGATGAAGCAGAGAGGGTGTCCTGTCTGCCCGCCTGTCCTGGGGCCTCCCACGCAGAGGCCGCAGTGGGCGCTGGGCGCTCGGGGGAGGCTGTGCGGACGGTCAGGCTGCTTCCACGTTTCCCTTCAGTTTCCTCCACCCTGTGCAGGCCCCCACGGTTAACCCTTTCCTCCCCCCATTGTGTTTGCTTCTGCCAAGCTGAGCCACTGAGGAGCCAACCATGCTGCGGAGACACAGACGTGGGGAGCACAGGCTCCCGCCGCTGCCACCGCCGCCACCACCACTGTGTCACCTGCAGCTTTGAAGACCCAGGCCCAGCCTCTACCTGTCGCAGCTCCTTGGGGCTGCTTGGCCTGGACCTGCCACCACCAGGTCTTACAGAGCAAGCCGCACTCCATGCCTCGAGCAGACGAGACTGAACTCCAGAGAGTCAAGAAGTGACTTGTCCAGAAGACATTTTTTTAATAGAAAACAACTTTTCTATAAAATGAATTTTTAAGACTTGGCTCAAACCTCTAGGTTAAACTGCCAACCTTTAGACAGGCGGCCATCGGATCAGAGGGCAGGGGACCCAAGCATGGCTATAAGGCCAGTCTGAGAAGCCTTCTGTCCTCAAGACAGGATGTTGGCGTGTTCCAGGAAGGCGCCGGCCTCTGGGTGCACTGAAAGCAGGCACGAGTGGGCAAAATCGAGCGGGTTTGTTCGAGTCTACCTTCCAAACCCAACCACGTCTGTCGCTGTTCCTTACGAGCTGCGCAACTTCTCGTGCTGGTCCGGAGCTGGATACCGCCTCTGCGGTAAGAACACAGCCGCAGAGACACGTGGCAAAGCAAAGGCTCCCGGCCCATTTCAGGGGTTCCAAATGTGCAGGCCCCAAGGCCAGAGCTGAGGGAGCAGTTCCTGGTGCCACAAAGTCTGAGCCGGCACCAGAGCCCTGGGCCGCCCCTGGGTGCCTGCCCTGCTGGCGGTCAGGCACTTGCCCATGCTGCCTGGCGGCCTCGGGTCACCCGAGTTCAGTCAGAAAGTAGAAAAAGCAGCTTTGTTTCGGGCATTAACAGGTAGGTCGCTAAGACTGCTACCTGCCAATCTGTGATTTGTCTAATCAGGTCTGTGTGATTAGGACTCACTTTGATTCTCTGAATTATTGGTTTGACTGTTGTATTTCAGCTGCTGGATTCATCCCTGGCTCCAAGTGTAGAGAAGGCTAAATAAGATGACAGTTGATTCGAGTCTCCCCCAGTGTGGCCTTCGGGGTGGGCTGGGGTCCTGGTGCACCACCGCCCTTCTGCTGGCTTGCTTGGTTTTTTAACTGGGAATCTTGCTCTGTACTCCTGAAGTTGGTAGAGGCAACTGGGTTAATTCCCGTGAGGCCAAGGGGCAGAGGCGGCTCAGCTGCTTGTCTGGTACCTTCCAGAGTAGGGAACAGAGGGGAGCCCTTCCTCCTGTGGGTAATTGAGCAGCCCTCTTGTTTTGCTGGCATGGGGCAGGCTGCTCCCTGGGCCCACATCCTCAGCTTCGTGGGACTTCTTTCCCAGCAAGGCTGTGAATTGACCTTCCCTGTGGGTTCTGTGCAGGGAGAGTGCTCTTAGGCACACTCACAACCCCTGCGATTGGCCAGACATGGAAAGCCTGGCCCCTGCCAACTTGAGGCTGGACCCCAGGGGTGGCACCCCCCTCTCTGGGCAGGGGTAGGGGACCCTCCACTCTCCGGTACTAAACAAGGACCTCAATGCCTGTGCATCACTTCGCTTCCTGCTCCTCTCAAGGCCCGTGAGCCTGCCATCAGCTGCCACCATGCAGTGCTGGCACAGTTCCCTCCCCCCTGCAAGAGGCCTGGCCCCGGCTACATGCACCTCTCTGGAGGCGGCAGGTCCAAACAGCAAACTAGACACTACGATGAGCTGCTCGAGCTGTCTTTTTGTTTTTAAATCATATGTAGGTGTTTCCTCCCCTTGAAGCTGCTATATATTTATTCAGGGTGTTTTTGTATTGGAAAGCCTTGGCTAGTGCGCTCTGGCTCTGGGTTTGCATTTGAGATTGGTTTATTTCTTAATAGTCAAGCAGGGTAGGAACTGGATCTTTCTTTCCTCTTTACTTCTCCTCCGGGGCAGGTACTCCCTATTCCCTAGACAGCAGTGGTGTGACTCCAAGGACAGGCTTCGGGTAGAAAAGCCTCAGCTTCTGCACCTGTCGGAGTTCCGAGCAGGCTCCGAGCTGTGCGAGGCCCCTTCTAGACAGACTTCAGGGGACCCAGTGTCTTCGCCGGCCACAGGTTCTCCACTTGCCCCTCTCCCGCTTTCGTAGGACCCCTCCCGCCGCTCCGCATTCACAGTGCCCCACATCCCCCTGGTCTCTAGCACCACGTTCTAGCAGGAGTTCCCCGAGAAGCCTCGGGCTGCATCGGCAGCAAACACGGCTGCAATCGGTCCCACACGAGAGAGTTAGCCTGACCCGGGCCCACTCCTGAGATGCTGGGCCTGCGGGAGGCTGGTCAGGTGCGGTTCACAACAGTGTTGTTGCTTGCTAATGGGATGGCAATGGGACTGAATTGTAATAAAACTGTTATTTAATCTTTGTCTCTGTATTTTGATACTTGAATGAATTCCCCTTTTATTTTACTGTACATATAATTGTTAGTCTGATTTTGTCCGATTTACGAACATCTTGTGGTACCAAACATACCCACTCTGTGCAACGACATAGACTGACCTCACTACACAGGAGAGAGTGTAAATATTCCTGGGCTTCCGGCTTTGGTTTTGTTATTTTCATAACTGTACAACTTAGAACAATTAATAAATGAGAAGCAACACGAAATCAGCCTTCCTTTTTGGGAGTTCTTGAATTAGCTTCTTGGCAGTTTTCTGGCGGAAGCACAGGCACAGGCTGTACGCTGGCTCCAGCTCACTGATGAGCATCCGCATTGTCTGGGGTAAGTGTGGGGACCTGCTCTGTCCAGCACGCTTCCAGGGGGGAAGCTGCCAAGGCTCGTCCGTTCCGTTCACTCTTTTAGCTGTAAGGCCCCTGTGGGTCCCCTTCCCCTCCTTAGAACATCTCATGTGAATCTCAAGCAGAGGCCATATGCTGGTTTTGGCTGTGGCTCCTCTGCGTCCTGGTCTGGGCTCCTGGACCCACAAATATGTATCAAATGTCTGCTTCCAAGGCCAGGGTGGAGGATTGACGGCTGTGGAAGAAGAGTGTCCCCCTCAAGGAACTTCGTCCAATTGTGGAGATTCAGTTTGACACACGTACAACTAGCTACTGGCCCAAAGCCACACCGTGAGGCCACGATGTACCGTCCTGTGAGCACCCACAAGGGCAGGAGTGCTCCCAGAGCTAGGGGCGGGGTGGGAGGGGGCAGGGGAGGAGGGGCAGGCACCTGAGCTGGTATTTAAAGGCAAGGGTTTAGAAAGGCACAGATGATATGACTAACCGCCCCCCCACACGGTGCTCCAAACCCCAAAGATGGGAGCTTTGCAGGCACCCATCTTGTTCTGACAACTTTCTGGGTGTGAACTCTATAGAATAAGCAACAGAGGCTCGGAAAGTCCTGCACCTTCCCAGGGCCAGCTGACTTCACGCGTCCTCGGAGCCCCTCGCCCCATGCTGGCTTCCACCCAAGCTGCCCAGCACTGAACACTTAGGAGGACCAACTTACTAGAGTGAGAGACTCGGGGGAAGGGCAGAGGGAGAGGGAGAGACTTGAGTAGACCCTGCACTGAGCACAGTGCCAGATATGGGGCTTGGGGGTTCGATCTCACGACCCTGAGACCATGACCAGAGCCAAAACCATGAGTTGGATGTTTAACAGACCCACCCAGGCACTGAGCGCTTATAAGTGAGTTTCTGTGAAATACTGTCAAGGGCTTTAAAAGCGAAAATCACTGATTTAATCTAATATCCCGTTGTATATTTATGAAGAAAACAAGGCCCAGAGCAGGGAACTCTCCTTCCCAGCCAGCCAGCTAATGGAGAGGCGACCAGTCCCAGCCGCTGAGGCCAGATCGCACCATCAGGCAGACGGAGGCCTGACCGTGGACGGCCCCACCTCGCTTTCCGGCCCAGGCAGTTCACCGCCCCCGCACCCCCCCCACACACACACACACACCCGTGCTCTCTGGCCTTGGCGCTCTTCCCTACGCAAAAGAAACCCTACAGCTAGGAGAGAAAGGTCTGGCCATAATTGGGGTCCCTGTTGCTCTGGGGGACGGGGCTGCCGGATGTGTTCCATCCCCTTGGCACCACTCAGAAGCCTCACAGCTGTGACTCGGGCCGCCCAGGCCGAGCACTGCGGGGCTCATCGTGCCTCGGGAGCCTGCCGGGTGCGAAGATGGACTGATTCCTGCCGTCGGGCCACAGGTAGAGCTGGCAGGAGGAGTGGGTTGAGGCAGCTCCAAGAAAGGAATGGATGCGCCCCCGAGCTGCCCGCCCTGCTCGCCGTGCCTCCGTCTAGAAAGGGCTCTACACACACGTCTCTGGTAGGCCCCCTCCCCACGCCCCCTCTGTCATCTCAGCGAGGAGTGAGGTAGAGCCTCCCAGGCCTCCGCTCTCCGCCATCACACCCCCAGGTCCTCAGTGGTTCCCCTCAGACACCCTGTGGCCCAGGAAGCCGGGCAGCAGGGTGGCCCTTCGAGCAGTGGCCAGGCCACCGAGGAAGCAAAACTGCATGGACTGGAGCACGCCCCAGGGCAGCTCCAAACGCCCTCAGCCCTGGCCACCCCTGGCCTCCTACACCAACAGGCTGCAGGGTCCCACCGGCTCCTGGCACGCGGCCACTTTCAGAATGGACGTGGTCCAAGCTGTGTGGCTCCCACAGCACCAGCTGCCATCACCTAACACCCAAGGAGTACAGGGGTGCAAACTGGCCATTGCTCAGGGCCGTGTCTACACCTCTGCCATTCCGTCCTTCCGGACTCTGCTATTAGGAACATTATTTTAAGCAAGTCTTTTTTTATATAATTTTTTTATAATTTTTTTAAATTTATTTATGATAGTCACACAGAGAGAGAGAGAGGCAGAGACACAGGCAGAGGGAGAAGCAGGCTCCATGCACCGGGAGCCCAACGTGGGATTCGATCCCAGGTTTCCAGGATCGTGCCCTGGGCCAAAGGCAGGCACTAAACCGCTGCGCCACCCAGGGATCCCAGTAAGTCTTTATCAGGTAAAAGAATTTCCCTAACACCACAAAATAGTTGTTATCCAGTACATGGGCCTGGGACAACTGCATAGCCATGGGGCTGGTGGGGACAGTACAGGGAGATTCCTAGGCCTACTTACAACAAAATAAATTCCAGGTGGCTCACATATTTAAAATGTAGAAAAAATAAAATCCCAACAAAGCTAGAAGAAAATGGAGACTTTTTTCATAATCTTGGTACAACAAAGCTCTTTCCGAGCATGCTACAGAACTCTGAATTCATTTTTTAAAAGATTCATATATTCAACTATATAAAAATCAAACATTTCTGCAAAGCCCAGTGCACATTTAAAAAAATTGAAAATAATATTTTATCACATGTAACAAAGGACAAAACTTGACAATAGCTATTAAAAAGTGAACTGGAACGTCTGGTTCCAGGAAGATCAAGTAGACATACTTTTCCCTATTCTTCTTGCTAAGGACAAATAAAAGCCCCAGCCAAGACAATGGCACAAAGCCCAAACAACAGTCTTCTCTCTCTAGCCAAAGGACCAGAAGAGAGGCAGCCTGGCAGGACAGAAAGATGTGAAGACACTGGGTACCTGGGTGCCTCAGTGGTCGAGCATCTGCCTCTAGCTCAGGGTGTGGTCATGGGATCGAGTCCTGTGTTGGGCTCCCCACAGAAGCTCCCTGCTTCTCCCTCTGTGTCTCTCATAAATAAATATAAAATAAATAAAATATTTTAAAAAAATGTGAAGACACTAACTGCTGTACTCCATCCAAACAAGACAGAAAAACAGCTGTGCCCACCAGAGGCCACTTTCTACCCTCACCAGGTTACCATAGGGGCTCACATGCCCACCAGGATGGTACCAGAGGAGGCCTGGTGGAAACCCACTGTTGCCCAGCAGTACCAGGGCTATTCCTGAAAAATACAATAACCAAAACTGAAATCCCAGTGGACGGACAGGAAAGAGAATCCACCCACTAGAAGAACAATGAAGACGACCCAATCTGGACAGAAAGAGAACATAGACTGGGAGGAATGAATATAGAGTCTCAGGGACCCAGAACTTTTAACATAAGATCGAACATTTGTGTCATCAGAGTCCCAAAAAGTGGGGTGGGGGAGGGAGGGTTAAAAAAGCACCCAAGGAAATAATGGCTGAAAACTTCTCAAATTTGGTGGGAGAAGTCAACCTGCAGATTCAAGAAGCTGAGTACACCCTAAACCAGACAAACCAGAAAAAAATCCATCACACATCATATCCAAGATACATCAAACTTAACTTTCTGAAAATGAAAAACAAAACATTTCTGAGTGCACATTACCTTGCCTACAAGGGACAAGTAATGTGAATAACAGTGGATTTCTCAGCAGAGCTGTGGAGCCAGAAGGAAGTAGTGTATTTCTCGGGTGCTGAAAAAAAAACGAGCCAGGTCCTACAGCCTCCAGAGATATCCTTCAGGAATGAAGAAGAATCAAGACATCCTCAGATGAAGGACAAGAAAGGACTTAGCTGCCAGCAGACCTACCCTAAAAGAATGATGAAAAAGCTTTCCAAACAGAAAAAGGAAATGACGTAAGAAGGAGCTTTGGAACATCTTTGGAAGCTTTGGAGCTTTAGAGAGATGACCAAACATTAAACAAAGATACGAGTAAACCCAAAAGATTTTCCCTCTCCTCTTCAGCTTTCTAACGTGTTTGATAGTTGAAGCAAAAATCGAAATACAGTCTATTATGTTTCTAAATATACGTAGAAAAAATATTTTAAATGATTATCTTTTAAATGGGGAAGGTAAAGGGACCAGTAGACTGTGGAGACTGTGGTGAGCTATGCATACATGTAATACCTAGGGAAGACACCAAAAAAGTTACACAAAGAGATAAACTCAAAAACGCTATGAGTAAATCAAAAAGTGTCACTTTTTTTTTCAAGTAACTCAAAGGAAGTCAGAAAAAAATACAAATAGGAGAACAGAAAAACCAGAAAACAAAAAATGGCACATGTAAGCACTAACATCATAATTACACCTAATTAAATGGTCTAAAAACACCAATTAAAAGAGATTGGCAGAGTAAATTAAAAAATATGAACTATATGCTCTCAAGAAACACACTGCAAATAATAATATAAACAGGCCGAGAGCAAAAGGATAGAAAAAGAGACATAACACAAACCTCAATCAAAGGAGAGCAGGCGTGGTGGTGTTAGTATCTCATAGACTTCAGAGCGGGAGAAAATTACAAGAGAGGGAGCGTCACCTAACAATACAGGGGCAGAGCGCCAAACACCAGGACTGCCAAGTACACAGAGCAAGAACCTGACTGAACTGAAAAGGGAAGTGGACAGATCCATAAACACTGCAGGCGGAAATGTGTCCCTCCAAAATTCCTAGGGTGAAGCCCTAACCCGGGGCGGGGGCGGGGGCTGTTCTTGAAGATAGAGCTTTTAGGAGGTAATTAAGGTTAAAGGAGCTCCTAGGGGTGAGGTCCCAGTCCAGTTGGACTGCTGGCCTTGCAGGCGGGGGGAGGGCAGGGAAGGGAGAGGGAGATCTCCAGACACAGGCACAGTGGGAAGACCCAGGAGGACATAGTGGGAAGCGTCCCATCCACAAGCCAGGAAGTGAGTCCCTGTCAGAAACTGACCCTGCCAGTCTGGGACTTCCCAGCTTCCAA